TGTGATAAATGCGTGATAAATGTGTGATGAATGGGTGATGAATGTGTGATAAATGTGTGATAAATGTGTGATAAATGCGCGCTAAATGCATGATAAATGCGTGATAAATGTGTGATAAATGCGCGATAAATGTGTAAGGTGACAATGTTGAAACTATTCGCCCCTAGATATTTACTCTTCAATATCTTCCTTGTTGCAAGATAATCTCCTTCATTGCGATATCTTCGTAAACATTCCCTTGTATATGCCTTCCTTGTTTATTAAGTCACGCCCTTGGTGACGTCAAATAGCGAAGCTATATAGAAGCTCTGTCTCAAGCGATTAACTTCAGTCTTGGGCCGAGAACAGTCGTGTGTAAGCCCTTAATCCTGTCCATATCAATCAGGACAGTAACCCTAAATTATCGTCAGAGTAGAAGATACACTCTATAGACATACTCCAACTGGACGCCGAAGACATCAATGTTAAAGCTCCAACTTATAAACTTAGATTATCCTTAAATATAAGCCGAACTATAATCCTAAATAATATATTACAATCGTTTACGCTGTTCCTCAATATTCTCGGATAACGCTAGAACCGAACCAACCACAAGGTCTATTTAATTCCCATTCATATAAGAGGTGCCCACATAAGCAACCTCGTACAGTGGCGCACCCGAACTGTTAGCAAAGTGATTATTGAGTGACTTATGTCAGTGACCGCACAGAATCCTGTGTAGGGGAAGTTTCCGAAGATGTAAAGCTCCGCAGCATCTACTACTTCTACAATTTGATCAACAACAGACTGAGATTTCATGGTCTACGAGAAGAATTCAGCGACGAAGACTACTACGGCTACAGCAACTAAAAGACCCATCATATACTTCAGCTCAAGTAATAAAGTGCACGGGCTATATTTATTATTCACAGCGCAACGCCTTCAGTGCCTCAACGGCCAGCAATAAGCGACCTGATGATATGCACAACGATCGACACTCTGCATTATGACGCTCCCTCCACGTGATAAGTGATTAAAAAAATATAACTCGGTACTCACTGCAGTGAGTGACAGAGAGCGCATTTTCTCGTCGACGAAAACGTGAAGTCACGGACGGACAGACAGACGGACAGACGGACGGACAGACGAGCACAATAGCGCCTTTTTTCCATAAATGATAAAATGCGCTAAAAAAGCGCCAGCAGCAAACCAAGTGCCACAGTATACGTGCAACGCACCTGTCTAAGTGTCACACATGTCAGCCACACAACAGCCACTCGTCAGCCACACGCACCTGACGTCAGCCACACGCACCTGTCTACGTGTCACACATGTCAGCCACACAACAGCCACTCGTCAGCCACACGCACCTGACGCCTGCTCCTCGGCGCCGCTGTCAGGTGCTGACGTCATCACCTTGTCGTGCGCCTCGAGCGCCTCGCGCGACAGCTTGCGCGTCAGCGCGGGGGGCGAGCGCGCCCTGGGGGGGGGGGCGTTGGGGAGGTATTAAAAACATGAATAACATGTTGGAAATAACAGAGATGTTTAAAAATAATACGTTGAAAATAACAGACATGTTGAAAAATAATATGTTGAAAATAATAGGCATGTTGAAAAATATGTTTAAAATAACGTACATGTTGAAAAATACATGTTGAAAATGAAAGATATGTTGAAACATAATATGTTGAAAACAACAGCCATCCTATTACTGTGTGAGTTTTGTTTTGCTGGTAATAACGTTCAGTCAAGAACAAACAAGCACGTATCAGCTAATAGACAAGTTTATGAACTTATCAATTATCAATATAAATGAATATCATGTGTTATCTTGTATGCGGGACATATAAAGCTCTAAAATAGAAAGACTTTACAAACATATTCTTCAAGACGCGAAAAACTAAATAATTTTAATATGAATTTTTTTCAAATTGGTTTAAAAAATGTTCCAAAATTGGAAACGTATATATAATATATTTAATTACGAAATAAATAAATCACGAAGAAATATAATTAAAATAATTAATAATAATTAAAAATATCATTAAAATAATTATCGTTAATTATCATTAATTATCATTACTATTAATAATTATTAATTATACAATTGAACAATTAACTATATATATGGTCTCACCTGCGGGCGACAACAGGCGACTCAGTGAAGGGCGCCGCCCCCGCGTCGCTCACGCCCTCAGACGCCGGCCCTGAGGACGGCATGAATAACTTTGTTATTTATTGCGTTATTTGTAATTTTTTAATTCATCTTTATTCGTTATATTGGAATGCATTATTCGTCATTCATCACTATTGGAATGCATCGCCATGTTCACCTCTTCTCAATATGATGTGAATTCACTCACCATTCCTCAGAACACACTCACCATTCCTCATGGCACTCACCATTCCTCAGCACACCCTCATCATTCCTCATGACACTCACCATTCCTCATGACACTCATCATTCCTCATGACACTCGCCATTCCTCATGACACTCACCATTCCTCATGACACTCACCATTCCTCATGGCACTCACCATTCCTCAGGGCAGGCGACGCCCTAGCAGGGAAGGCTGGTGGCAGCTCCCTCTGGACGACGAGGTCGAGCACGTACTCCTCGCCCGGCAGCTCGTAGAGGCGCTCGTGCTCGGCGAGCGCCACCGTCCAGCCGCTGCTGCTCGACTCGATACCGCGCGCCTGTAGCGCCGCCCCCGCGAACTCAGACCCCGTCGTCCACGAGTCCACCTCGACCACCGTGGACTTGCCTGGGGGTATAAGGGGAGGCATGAGGGTATAGGGAGGTACGCGGGGGAACGTGGGTATAGGGAGGTACAAGAGGACACGGGGGTATAGGGGGGTTCGGGACGCCTGTCGGAGACCACCACTGCCTTGCATCTAATGGACTATCATGATCCCTTCCCTGAAGAACGTAGCCTACAACACTTCTTGACTGTAACATTATCAGCCGCACGCCACCAGACCGACCACATCCATTGAATTAGATCAATCAGCCCACAGGAAAATAGCCTGACGTAGAATGGCCCAGCGTCGTCTGCCAATACGCGAAAAAAATTGCATCTTTTGACCGGAGCGCGCCGGACCCGTCCGTATCTGTCCCGTGTGTCGAATCAGCCTACGGTTGAACGGCCACTCGTAGGACGATAAATTTTGGAACAGAACTAATGGGTACTTTTTTAACTTTTAGCTCACAGCATCTGAGGTTAGGTTTCAGAAAGCATAGTTCTGTTCCAAAATTTATCGTCCTACGAATGGCCTACATATGCAGAATTTTTTTCGCATATTGGCAGACGACGCTGGGCAATTCTACGTCAGGCTTATTTTCCTGTGGACTGATTGATCTAATTCAATGGATGTGGTCGGTCTGGTGGCGTGCGGCTGATAACGTTACAGTCAAGGTGTCTTGTAGGCTACGTTCTTCAGGGAAGGGATCATGATAGTCCATTCGAAGCACGGCAGTGGTGGTCTCCGACAGGCGTCCCATTTATCTGAGGCATACCGAAGCGTATCTCTAATTCACGATTACTGATTAATAGAATAATACAATGAAAAAATAAGTCATTAAATGAAATAAGAATAATGAAATGAAATAATAAGTAATCAAATGAAATAGGAAATAATAAAATGAAATAATAAATAATAAAGTGAAATGAGAAATAATAAAATTAAATAAGAAATAATAGAATTGAATAGATAAAATGAAATAATAGATAAAATGAATAAAAATGAAATAATGAATAAAATGAATAGATAAAATGAAAAAAAATAATAAAATTAAATAATAAATAATTAAGTGAAATGAGAAATAATAAAATGAAATAAGAAATAATAGAATTGAATAATAAATAATAAAGTGAAAAAAATAATAATAAAATTAAATAATAAATAATAAAGTGAAAAAAGAAATATTAAAATGAAATAATAAGTAAATAAATGAAATAAGAAATAATAAAATAAAATAAGAAATAATAAAATGAAATATTAAATAATAAAAGATAACGAACCATCAGGACAGAAGGCCTCGAGCGCCATCTTGCCCCTGCGCGTGTTAGTGCGCCACTCGAGCGCGCTGGGCGGGAACGTGCGCGCGACGCCGTCACTGCGCGCCTGCGCCGACAGCAGCTTACCCTGGCACAGTGCCCCGTACCCTGGGGGGGCGTGGTCCGTCACGTACCTGGGGGGGGAATGGGGAGGAATGAGGTATACAAGGGGATAAAAAGGGCGTTAAGGGTGCCCCGTACCCCGGGGGGGGGGCATGGTCCGTCACGTAGCTGGGAAGGAATGGGGGGATAACAAGGGGATAAAAAGAGGCACGTACCTGGGGAGGAATGGGGAGGAATGAGGTATAAGAGGGGATAAAATGGGCGTTAAAGGTGCCCCGTACCCTGAGGGGGGTGGGCGTGGTCCGTCACGTACCTGGGGGGGAGGGGGAGGAATGAGGTATAAGAGGGGATAAAAAGGGCGTTAGAGGTGCCCCGTACCCTGGGGGGGCGTGGTCCGTCACCTACCTGGGGGGGAATGGGGAGGAGAGGGTATAACAAGGGGAGGAAGGGGATAAAATGGGTGTAAGGGCCGAACCCCTGGGGGGAGGGGTCCGTCATATACTTGGGGAGAAAGGATGGGGAGGAGGAGGAATGCATGGACAACTCTGGGAAATTTTTCAGTCATGTACCTGGAGGAATCTTGCACGCATAGGAGTATAGGAGAGTAGGAGCAATATTAATAATAATATTAATAACAATATTATTAATAGCAATATTAATAATTGAAGCTCAAGTAATACATACGCGGTATTATCGCTACTTGCGTAGGTAATCGTGAAGTGTGTAGGAGGTCAAGTAATACTAATACCACCCTCGTGTGGAGGTACTCGTAATGGCAATGGCAGCACATAACAGATAATCGCAAAGTGATACCACGTACTTGTGAAGGTAATGGCAGCACGTAACACATGGTAATATTACTTACATGAGGAGGTAATTATACCACGTACCACAAGGTAATACCACTCACTTGAGAAGGTAATTATATAGCGTAGGTGATGGAGGGAAGCAGGAGAGGCAGTTAGTTAGCAGCAGCCAGCCGCGCTCAGCGTTCGCTTGGTTGTCGTTACGCCAGGTTTGGTTGCAGAGCTGACACAGGATCTCGTCTCGCAGGTCCTCGTTGGTGATGCCCTGGGGGGGAGATAGAATTTGTTATCGTTTATTAAATATAATAATTGGCCCTTGGCGATATAAAACAGGCCCCTGGGGAGAATATACAAAAGTCCTTGGGGAAAATATAAAAAAGGGCCTCGGGGAAAATATAGAAAAAGTGCCTTGGAGAAAATATAAAAAAAGGCCTTGGGGAAAATATTAAAAAGGGCCTTGGGGAAAATATAAAAAAGGGCCTTGGGGAAAATATAAAAAAAGGCCCTTGGGGAAAATATAAAACAAGGGCTTGGGGAAAATATAAAAAATGTAACTCAGTACTCACTGCAGTGATTGACAGAGAGCGCATTTTGTCGTCGACATAAACGTGAAGTCACGGAGGGACAGACAGGCGGACGGACAGATGGACATGGCGAGCACAATAGTGCATTTTTCCATAAATGAGAAAATGCAATAAAAATGGCCTTAGGGAAAATATAAAAAAGACCTTGGGAAAAATATAGAAAAGTGCCTTGGGGAAAATATAATTTGTAAGCCTTTTGGGATAGAAATTTCACCTTATTGACGATGTAGTCAGCTAGGACGGTCTCCCTGGTCCCAGCAAGGGACGTACCTTATTGACGATGTAGTCAGCTAGGACGGTCTCCCTGGTCCCAGCAAGGGACGTACCTTATTGACGATGTAGTCAGCTAGGACGGTCTCCCTGGTCCCAGCAAGGGACGTGTCGTTCATGAAGCGCAGGATGAGTTTGAAGACCGCCAGGGAGTCGCTGTAGTCCGCATCCCGGGCCTTCGCTAGGAACGGGGTGCGGATAGGCTCCCTCTTCATGCCCCATAGGTGCGACTGCGGGGTTATAAATTAATAATAATAATTAAAATAATAACAATTACGGTATTAATGTGTATGAATTAATCTTCAATATTCTTATTTTAAATAATAAATCTTAACAGGAACGGAGTACGGATAGGCTCTCTCTTCATCCCCCATAGGTTCGACTGTGGTGGTATAAATTAATAAATATGATAAAAATAATAATAATTATTAATGTGTATGAATCAATCTTCAATGCTCTTATATTAAACTTTTTAGATAATAAATCTTAACAGGAACGGGGTACGGATAGGCTCTCTCTTTATACCCCATAGGTGCGACTGTTGGGTTTAATTAATAACGGTATTAATAATTATAATTAATGTACTGTATATGAATTAATCTTCAATATTTTTTATTGTTTTTTTGGATTGTTTAAATAATAAATTTTGACAGGAACGAAGTACGGATAGGCTCTCTCTTCATCCTCCATAGGTGCGACTGTGGGGGGTATAAATTAATAAATATAATAATAATAATAATAATTTTAATTAATATGTATTAATTAATCTTCAATACTCTTATTTTGGATTTTTTAAATAATAAATCTTGACAGGAACGTCGCGCGAATTATAGGCTTTCGCTTCGTATCCCACGGCTGTGACTGGTTCAATAAAATGAATAAGTAAATAAATAATAATAGTGAATTATTTCAGCCAGGCGAATAGAAATGTCGTAAAAGATTCAATATGTGCGATGAATGGATGACCACTTAATGCTCCACAGATCCCCTTCATTTGCTCCCAAAAATTATTTGGGAGCCAAATGAATAGATGTGAAGAGGTAAAGGAGGTTCGACTGGGAGGTGGATATATGAACGATAAAATAACAAATGGTTTTGTTGCGTTACTCGAGTTCAAGAATATTCGAGTGAGTCTATAATGAAAAATTTTTGCAAAAAAATGAAATATAGAATTGTCTTTCCCGGGCCAGAGAAAATGGCCCTTGGTGTACAAACACACCTTAAACTAGACGTTGGCGTACAAACAAACCTTAAAGTAGATGTAGGCGTACAAACAAACCTTGAAGTAGACGTTGGTGAACTTAGTGAAGGGGTAGAAGTCGAGGTCGGGGGGCAGGGAGTGCCCCATGAGCTGGGGGCGCACGCTCCCCGCCTTGGTGATGTGGCGGTCGCCGTGGGGGGCTTGCCAGTCTGTTCAACATAATCATTATTTATTAACTACAGCATTACAATTATTAGGGAAAATTAATCATTATACTTAACTATGATACTTATGGTTTTTATTATTAACTCCAGTGCTTATAGGTGGCGTTAGAGTTAATAATGATAGGTGTATGTTGCAGTTAATAATAATAATAATAATAATAATAATAATTTTAATAATAATAAGTATACTTATTATTATATTATTAACTCCTGCGCGTATGTGGTGTTGGAGTAGGTTAGTAGAAGTAGTATTATTTTCACTATACAGATTGTACTTAATTGTGTTCTAAACATTTATAAACTGATAATAGGGAGGGTCAACAAAATGTTTCAATTGAATCTATAACGCTCCGAATTTGCTTGGCCTTTAATTTTGTTTTTAAATTTTTAAGTAAAAACAATAATTAATCGAATAATAAATAATTATTAAAAATAATAATTAATCGAATTTGCTTTCGATTGCGGAAAACCACTGATATAAGAACTAATTTGCACAAAAACATGAATACACACTAAATTTGACTAAAAGATGAATAAAACCATCATATTTATATGCGATTATGAATAAATAATCTGCATCGAATCATGGTTACAAGTGTGCACAGTTAAAATGCTCAAGTTTAATTGAAAACGTAGTAAATAACAAGCGATGGAAGCAAAAATTAATTTGAAGAAAACTGTGTTCGCTTCGTAAAATTAATTAAGTGAAAATTTTGGTTAAATCAAAAAGAAATAAATTTTATAAGAGTTGAATTTCTTTCTCAATAAATTTTTCGATAATCTAAATATAAAATATAATCTTTTTTAAATTTTATTAGGAGAATATTTGATTTTAGCAACTAAATGCGGTACCATCTTCGCATTCCGGTTGCCGGCAAATAAAATGCGCTGCGCATTCCAGGCTCAAAGGGAAAACTAGAAAATGTAAACAAGACCGAAAAATTCTAGCCGCATTCCAGGCTCAAAGGGTAGACTAGAAAATGTAAACAAGACCGAAAAATTCTAGCAAACGCGGCCTAAAAATCCCGCCTCCAGATGCAAGCGGCAAGGCCGTAAAATTTTTGCAGACGCGTGCGGCAAAAACTGAAAGCGTGGAGCATCCGAGCGCAGGACGGCTGCTAACGCACGTGGTGAGATCTGTTCTTTTGTTCAAAGATAGAAACAACAGCGGTTAACAGATAGGAAAGCTGTTAACATGTGAAGAAATACGGGCGATAGTTAATTACTACTGATCAGGTTAGTTCCTATTTATCTAGTTAGCTACTATTTATCTAGTTAGTTATCTAGTTAGTTAGTAGTTATCTATAGTTAGTTTGTAGTTATCTAGTTAGTTGATATTTATCTAGTTATTTTAGTAGTTATCTAGATAGTTACTATTTACTAGTTATCTAGCTAGTTACTGGTATTCTAGTCGAAAAGAAAGCTTAAATAGGATATGCGGTGTCTGAATGTCGTTAATCCTAGAAAAAAATATTGGCATGAAAGCATTCATTGCTTATTTAATAATCATTTTTTTCCAATTTTATGGGTGTATTTAATTTTTGAATCCCAACAGTAAGAACAACTTGTTCAACTTTTTGACCCTTATACGAGAGCGTTCATTAGGCAATTAGTAAGAGTTAAAAACCGCGAGGTTCGGCACAACGCGGACTGCATGGCGCTTGAGCCTTCAGATCACACAGATTTGCAGATCACACAGAATTCACAGATCACACAGATTTGCAGATCACACTACAGAATTCACAGATCACACAGAATTCGCAGACCACACAGAATTCGCAGATCACACAGAATTCGCAGATCACACAGAAATGTGTGTGTGTGACTGTGTGTGTCTGTGACTGTGTGTGTGGGCGTCTGTGTGTATGTATGCGTGACTTTGTGTGACTGCGAGTGTGTGTTTCAATGTGTGTGTGTGACTGTGTGTGTCTGTGACTGTGTGTACGTGTGCTTGACCGTGTGAGTGTGTGTGACTGTGAGTGTATGTTATTGTGTGTGTGTGTGACTGTGTGTGTACGTGACTGTGTCTATATGTGCGTGACTGTGTAAGTGTGTGTGTATACATAGAGAAGCGAGTGTCGGAGAATGAAAGATCATCATCGTTGTAAACTATACTCAGAAAAATAAGTGGGCAATATTGTTGAAAATAGAGACATTATTTGACTCGCAACACAAGCAGAAAGCGACGTGGAAAACTCGGTCAGGATGACCGACTATATGCGAAAAGTGCATCAATGTTTGATTAAAGCCGCAACATTCAAAATAAAATAATTTAATTAAATTAAATAAACTTAAATTAAATAAACGCAACATTCAAAACGCTCACTGAATAAACGCAACATTCACGCAAGTGAATTAATGCAACATTCAGGTAAAAATTACCTCCAAATACCCGTACCCGTCACGGAGAAAGGAAAATAAATTTTTCACCAAAAAAGTTTTTTTAAATACATTCGGAAGCCGCGAGGCGATCGTGACCGTAAAAATCGAATCGAACTTCGTGACAACTTGAACGTTGCGCATGGCGCAGAGAGCGCGCGAACGTTGCGCATATAGAGCGAAGTCGTTTGCATATAGCACGCACGGCGCTCGATGAAAATAAAAATTAACGTGGCGTTCGAGGCAAAAAAAAAAAAAAATTAACGTGGAGTTCGAAGCATAAAAATTGAAAAAAATGTACGTGGCGTTCGAGTTAGAAAAAAAGTAAGCGGCGTTCGAGGCAAAAAATTTGCGATTTCAGCGACATTCCAGCACACTTGGAGGCGATGAAGCGGATTAATTGCAATAACTTTAAAACGTTGCTTTCAATAAATACAATACACAGTGCAATAACAACGACGTAATCAATAACTAAAATATTTTCTGGTAGTATATCTCAGAAGGTCTAAGTGCATGAAAAACTCGCGCAAACCGTAATATAATTTGACGATTGATAAATGAATGTAACTAATAAATACTGATAACCCTAAACTGACTAATAATAATTAAAGACGAATAGTAGTTTTTAATGGAAATTATGAACACAGTTAGTATAATTAAATTACGAAATACAGTGAAATCAGTGGATACATACGTGATCATGCATAATGATATTAAATTTGCGATTCCAATAAAGACTATAACCGTGCACCGATGTGTCGATATGTTCACGAAAGAATTTAAGAGTGACTGCGTTGCCTTATGTACACCGTACGATTGTACGTATGTACGCAAGCTACAGGTACGAAAATTAAATAAAATGGTGAGCTATATACGGGTCTTTGAGTGTAAATGCTTACGCTCATTTCACGTGCAAAGCTTACGACCAGCGAAACTTGTACGAAATTCTGGAAAATTACCTTCTGGCAGCCATAAAGATGGTTCGAGATTATCACATTTTGCTGGCATCAATTAAAACTTCTTGAACCTCAGACAGACTAAGTGACAAAAGTTACAGAACATCATAGTTAACAGACAGAAATCACGAAACGCCACATAAAACAGATATCTGACAGACTGATGCCAAGTAGATAATATGTTACATTGATAAATTTTTATCAATTTTAGACGTAAAATTATATATTGATCTGTTACATTTTACAGATACTGGCGCCCATGAATATCCATTTAGATATTTCATCAGAACAGTAACAACTTTCGAAACGGTAGGAACTTTAAAAACAGTATTAAAAAACGAACCGGCCAAAACTTTCATAACAGTAGCAATTATCAAAATGGTGAGAACATCCTAAACAGTAACAACTGTCCAATGGTGAGAACTTTCAAAACGGTAGCAGCAATCGAAATGGTAAAAGTTTTCAAAATAGATGCTAATGGCCACGGAAACTTATAACTCGCCGCCGAAACGTGCACCAAATTTTACTTTATAGGAGCAGAGAACGGCGCACTACACACCTCACGCCGTCACGAGCCGCACTGAGGTTCTGCACTTGCAGCATCGCAATCCCCACGGCACCTGGCGGGGACTTGTGAGGGTAATAGGTGAGTAATGGGCGTGTGGCTAGTGCCGGGGGTTGCGGTGAGTAATGGGCGTGTGGCTGGTGCCGGGCGGTGAGTAATGGGCGTGTGGCTGGTGCCGGGCGGTGAGTAATGGGCGTGTGGCTGGTGCCGGGCGGTGAGTAATTGGCGTGTGGCTGGAGCGGTGAGTAATGGGCGTGTGGCTGGTGCCGGGGGTTGCGGTGAGTAATAGGCGTGTGGCTGGTGCCGGGGGGTGAGGTGAGTAATGGGCGTGTGGTTGCAGCTCAAGAAGATACGTCTAGAGTACGATCAGCGACTTTTGGCACCTTCAAAACTTTCGTACGACCGACTTGGCTAAGAGAGTACCTTCAAACCACGTTGCATATCAGCCAATCACAAGCTGGCTTACATCCTTTGTTTACGTTACGAGTCTCATGACGCCATGATACTGTGTTCAGTTATTTTAAACCTTTTGGCTCTTATTAAAGAATTTTTGAGGCTTTTAATCTAAAATTTTAATGACAAATGCAGTTTCAAGATAGTAAAAGTAGTATTTAATGATTAATATGACATAATGAACAACGGGAATAGAATTTTTGTGAATCCGTTTTCAAATTCACCCGTCAGATTCGTTTTCTGTTGACATATACTAAGAGAAAATTCATTAAATGCATGACTAATAAACTTTTCTAAATGGTAAAATAAGGATATTTTTCTAACTAAAAATTAGAGTATTTACCTTAAAATGATACTAGAGTCTACACACTAGTATGATACACTAGTCCACACATTATTAGAGACTAGACATTAGTAACTAAATGATAACCAATCGCTTCACTCACTCAAAAGTTGATCGTTACTCCACTTTCGCGACCTTTGAATCGGCGCAAAGTTACGTTCATCTTATTGCACGTAACGTACCTCATAAAGTTTTGAAGGTACCATCTTTTCGAGCTACGCGCACTTAGCGGACTTACGCTGCACTTAAGCCGCTAACGAGCCTTAGCAATGTTTTGAAAGTACCTGTCTGGGCCTATACTTTCAAAAAAAGTTAATAGATCGTAAGTTCATCAGCCAATCATTGACGGCCTGTCAAGCAAAATCCACCAATCATAGAGAAAAAAATCGAGCGTAAGTACTTACGTTAACTTAGCGAGTTTTGAAAGTATGGCCTTGGACCTTGTTGCTGGTCCACTCTTCCTCCTGACTCCCTCAAGTCCCCTTCATCCCCCAAGACCCCCCAAGACCTCTTACTCCCTCTAAGACCCCCCAAGACCCCCCCCCTACCCTTGGTCTTGCTGAAGACGAAGGCGAGCTCGGCCGGCACGTCCAGGTGGTTGACCGCAGCCACAGCGCGCTGCTGCTGCTGCTGCCCGCCTGCTGCAGCTGCTGCACGTGCTGCACTCGCTGCTGCTGCACGCTTCCTGCGCATCATCTCCTCCTTCAGAAGCAGGGAAAGAGAGGACGACAAATTATAGATAATATAATTGATAGATAAGACAAATGGTAAATAACATAAATGATAAAAAATATAACTCAGTACTCAAGGAAAATAGGAAGTCACGGACAGACAGACGGACAGACGGATGGACGGACGAACGGACGGACATGACGAGCACAATAGCGCTTTTTCCCTTAACTGAGAAAATGCTCAAAAAAGACAAAAAAAAATAGATAATATAATGATAAATAATAAGACTTATTAATAAGATAAATAATAGCGAGAGGAATGAGGAATTTTAAAAATTAGAAATTTTTCACGTATTTCCATAACTTACGTACAATTTCAATATCATAAAGACATTAAGGGGGATAAGGAGTAAAAAGGGGCATTTAAGAGCTCTAAGGACAGCACTAAGGACAGACCTTAAGCTTGTGGTAGCGTCGGCGCGTATGGCGCCCCTTGACGAGCGCCTGCGCCTTGACGACGCCTGCGCGCAGTGCGCGGTAGCGGCGCCGCGCCTGATGCATGCGCACGGCCGCCTGGATCTTCACCGCCGCCGCCCGCTGCGTCGCCAGCCTGTCGGGGGAGGCGGGGCATGGGGGTGAGGATATGGGGTATTTTGGGGGATTAGGGGCTATAATATCAAAAATATTTGCGATCAGAGATGTTGTGTCCGTAATATCAAAAATATTTGCGATCCATCATAAACCTGACCTCACGAAACTTCATCACACAACACCATACCACCAGCAATCCTTAAGACACCCGCCTTCTGCGGGTCGTTATATTTTGCGTAAATTCCCCCAGGGCAGTTAACAACTCCCATTTTGACATCAAACAGTAGAAGTTTTACAATGTGGGCTCTGGATGATGGCTGCCTAATGGTCAGAGTAAAATTTGTTCATGTGTGGTATTCGTTCCTGGTCAAGGGAACAACGAGAACAATATCACGATTTTTTCTACCTTGTAGTCGGTCTATTCGGTTGTGATGACAACGAACCCGAGGGTTGATAGGCTTATAAGGAAGATGTTAAAATTTATGATGTCCAGATCTCCATTTTGAAATGCTTAACATTACAACCACGCTATACCGCATAACGCCACACCACACCACACCACACCTCACCACCACACCACACTACACCACACCGCACCACACCACACCACCACACCACACCACACCACAACCCACCTCCTCCTGGCGAGGTGTCCGCGCACCAGTTTCTGCACCAGCACCACACCACACACCACACCACACCACAACGCACCACACCACACCAGCACCACACCACACCACACCACACCACACCACAACGCACCTCCTCCTGGCGAGGTGTCCGCGCACCAGTTTCTGCACCAGCACCACACTGCACCACACCACAGAAAAAATGTTGAGCCCGCCTCGCTTCTCTTTCATCGACAAGATAATTTATTAAGTAAACTACCTTGATTTTAAAATATATTTATTGCACGTAAAATATATTTATTGCACGTAGAAAGTACAAAATAACCGAATGTATTATTAAATAAGTTATAATAATTATAATGTAATATATTATAAAATAATATAATATAATATAATATAATAATATTGAGATAATTTTCAATAAAATACATTCTCCAGGTGAAATAATAGCACAATCCTGCTATTAGTAGGCCTATATATCTACAACAACAATAATAGGAGTTACGCTGAAGAAGAATTTCAACCTTGGTTGGCTTATATTAAATGCCTCTCATAAATATACGTAATCAGAAGTCATTTCTTGCATTCCTTTCCTTGTTTTATTTTTACTTTTTCGCTTCAAGTTTATTTCTACAATTTTTCTACGCAAGCTTTTTTGTAAGCAAAAGTTTGTAACTCCTGCCCGCATGCATGTCAAGTCAAAGGATGTTCTGTTGTTCAGATATTAGTTAATAATGTATTTATTCATATTTTTTCAACTGTTAAAGACAACAGTGCATGTGTACGTATTCTTATCATATTACATTTCATCATATCATACATATAAAATTGTTATAGCATAAAATATATCATATTAAATTTCATGCAATTTATTTATTAATATACTTGAAACTAACCTTAGTAGCACCGAGCTGGAAGGCCCCGGGGCTGTAGACGGACTTCTGGAGCACCACGCGACAGATCTCCTGAGGGGGGGCGCCCTGGGGGGCACAGGGGCATTCATCAATTATATTCATCGATAAATGGTGGTGGGAGCAGAGTGATCAGATTAAATGTCTTGACATGGATCGTAGAGAAAGAAGATCGGGTGAAAATAATCTAATTAACTCCACTCAGGAAATCAAGGTGGAAAAATACAGTCGCAGGTACTGCCTTATGGGCGCAGGGTGGCCCAGTGGTTAGAGTGCAGCAGGGGCCATACTTTCAAAACTCGCTAAGTGAACGTAAGTACTTACGCTCAAATTTCTTGTCTATAATTGGTGGATTTGGCTTGAAAGGCCGTCAATGATTGGCGGACGAACTTACGATCTCTTAACTTTTTTTGAAAGTTTAGGCCCAGAGTACTAGGATTGGCGCAGGGAGGCGCGGGTTCGATCCCAGCTCTGTGCGCCAGTTTCTGGTCAGAATTGGCAAGTAGGCCGGGCGGTTAAGCAAAGAAATTTTGAAGCAGTGAGTTGCGAGTTCAAGCCCGCAACATGCGGTGGATGTTCTGCACTGTTAAGAATCGGCGACAGGCCTACAGCCTAATAAACGCTGAAACCGCTATTATTATTATTATGGCACCCGTAACATGTGCACTTGGCAGTGGAATGTTGTGGAGCGTACCTAGACAACTAATCTAGCCCACTCTGGGCACCTAGCCCCCATGCTTGGCACCCAACCCTTCCCGAGGCACTTGACTCACTCTAGGCACTAGACTCACTTTAGGCACTAGATTCACTCTAGGCACTTGTCCAGGCACTAGACTCACTCTAGGCACTTGTCCAGACACTCTACTCACTCTAGTCACTAGCCTCACTCCTGAAACTTGACTCACTCCAGTCACTAGACTCACTCCAGTCACTAGACTCACTCTAGGCACTAGACTCACTCTAGGCACTTGTCCTGGCACCAGGCCCTTAACTCACTCTAGGCACTTGACTCACTCTAGTCACTAGACTCACTCCAGGCCCTTAACTCACTCTAGGCACTTGTCCAGGCACGAGGCACCGGAAGCGTGCAGCGAAGGCCCCGTAGGACAGCCTCACAGGATATCCCAGCTGCCGTATCCTGATGGTGTCCAGCATGCCGGAGTACCTGAGCTGCTCCAGCACACACGGCATGTCCAGCTTGAGGGGCGCCTTCTCCGTGTTAGGCTTGATGCACCGTATGAACCATGGGTTGCATCTGATGCATAGAATAAACATGCATGCATGATCAATTTTGGGTGTGTCATATTTTCAATATATTTCATATTTTCATATATTTCATATTAATATTTCAAAGCTTGCTGCACCGAATGAATCACGAGTTTCTTCGGCCAAAAAATGTATCAGTTCATCATGCATTTTGCACCGTATGCACAATATTTCGTACATTTTATATGCATCGTGTTCATTTTATGCATCGTGTAATACACTGTTCATTTGCCACAAAAACTACGTACCACTGAACGCACTACGGACCTCAGCATGCCCTGCACGAACAAAGCGCTACTGCACGCACTGCACACGCACTGCACGCACTACGTACTTGACCATGGAGTCCGTGAGGCTGGCTAGGCTGTCATGGAAGCACAGCACGCACAGCACGCACTGCACGCACAGCACGCACTACGTACTTGGCCATGGAGTCCGTGAGGCTGGCCAGGCTGTCATGGAAGCACAGCACGCACCACTGCACGCACTGCACGCACTACGTACTTGGCCATGGAGTCCGTGAGGCTGGCCAGGCTGTCATGGAAGCACAGCACGCACCACTGCACTGCACGCACTGCACGCACTACGTACTTGGCCATGGAGTCCGTGAGGCTGGCCAGGCTGTCATGGAAGCGCGCGGCGACGGTGGGCGTGCGCGGCTTCATCGTCACGAAGCGTCCGTTGCTCTTGTTGAGCGTCTGCTTCTCTGCACCAGCCGTGCGCACGTCCAGGAACATGTCCGACACCAGCTGTGGACATGGAACATGTATGACACCAGCTGTGGACATGGAACATGTATGACACCAGCTGTGGACATGGAACATGAGGCAAATGTCACTAACATGTCCGACAACAGCTGTAGTCCACTCTCACAGCGCCATCTCTCTCAGGCCCCATATAAAGTTAAAAAATTCGCGATATCATCTCTCCAATAACCCAATACCTTAACAAAGAACCTCCTCTTTACGTTCCTCTTCACAGGAATCATTCACACGATGTCCCCTCCTCACAAGACGCCCTCAGGAGCATCACCTTACCAAGCACCTCACAAAACACCTCTTCAAAAGACCCCCACCATCTTAACCTTGTGGGAAGAGCTTGATCACGTCGTTCCTGAAGGCTTCCTTTAAGGTACCTCACAAGCCACCTCCTCAAAGACCACCTCCTCACAAGCCACCCCTCACAGACCACCTCCTCACAAGCCCCCAATCTCACAGACCATCTCCTTGCAAGACCCCACCTCACAGACCACCTCCTCACAAGCCCCACCACACCTCATAGACCACCTCCTCACAAGCCCCCACCTCACAAGCCCCCACCTCACAGACCACCTCCTCACAAGTCCCACCACCTCACAGACCACCTCCTCACAAGCCACCCCTCACAGACCACCTCCTCACAAGCCCCCACCTCACAGACCACCTCCTCACAAGCCCCCACCTCACAGACCACCTTACTACAAGCCCCCACCTTGAGCTTGGAGGATATAAGGAGCTCGACGACGTCATTCCTGAGGGTGTCCCTGTTCTTGTCGAGGAAGCCGTCGACGCTGTACCAGACCAGCCCGGCGTAGTGCTGGACACCGAACTCCGTGGAGGACATGCGCGGCCTGTGGGGGAGGAGGTCTTAGGGGTGACTTAATGGAGCGTAAGGGGCGTTAGGGACAGCAGGGGACGTTATTGGCACGTTAGGGGGCGTTTGGGGGCGTTAGGGGGCGCTTTGGTGACATTAGGTGGCGCTTTGGGGACGTTAGAGGACATTAGAGAGCGCTTGGGGAAGATGGAAGGCTTTTGGGGGCGTTAAAGAGCGTTTGGGGATGTTAGGGAAAGTTAGGGAGGCGTTAAAGTACGTTAGGGGTGCGTTAGAAAACCAGGCCGGTCTAGTGCTGGACACCAAACTCCGTGTATAGGACATGCGCGGCCGGGAGGGGAAGAGGTCGTAGGAGAGTTAGAAGACCTAGGGTAGATAGGAAAAGGTCACATCACTGGCACGTCACACGTCAGGAGGTCATAGGACACAAGGACGCCACACGTCACCTGGAGTAGAGGTCGTTGAGGGCGTGGTTGTAGTGGCACTTCTCGAGGAAGGAGACGTCGCTCGCCTTAGGGAAGTTGCTCTCGTCGTCCAGCAGGTGGATGATGCCCACGGGTTTACGGGATAACAGGTCGATAACAGGCTGGTTATCCTGCACACAAAAAGAGATAACAGGCTGGTTATCCTGCACAACAAGAGATAACAGGCTGGTTATCTTGCGCACAAAAAGAGATAACAGGCTGGTTATCCTACACAACAAAAGATAAGAGACTGGTTATCCTACACAAAGAGAAATAATTGCACACAGAAAGAGATAACAGGCTGGTTATCTTGCACACAAAAAGAGGTAACAGGCTGGTTATCTTGCACACAACGAGAGATAACAGGCTGGTTATCCTGCACAAAGAGAGATAACAGGCTGGTTATCCTGCACACAACAAGAGATAACAGGCTGGTTATCCTGCACACAACAAGAGATAACAGGCTGGTTATCCTGCACAAAGAGAGATAACAGGCTGGTTATCCTGTTCAAAGAGAGATAACAGGCTGTTTATCCTGCGTAAAGAGAGATAACAGGCTGGTTATCCTACACAACAAAAGATAAGAGACTGGTTATCCTACACAAAGAAAAATAACAGGCTGGTTATCTTGCACACAAAAAGAGATAACAGGCTGGTTATCTTGCACACAAAAAGAGATAACAGGCTGGTTATCTTGCACACAACAAGAGATAACAGGCTGGTTATCCTACACAACAAAAGATAAGAGACTGGTTATCCTACACAAAGAGAGATAACAGGCTGGTTATCCTGTTCAAAGAGAGATAACAGGCTGGTTATCCTACATACAGAGAAATAACAGGCTGTTTATCCTACACAACAAGAGATAACAGGCTGGTTATCCTACACAAATAGAAATAACAGGCTGTTTATCCTATACAAAGAGAGATAACAGGCTGGTTATCCTACACAAATAGAAATAACAGGCTGGTTATCCTACACAAAGAGAGATAACAGGCTGGTTATCCTACACAAAAACAAAGATAAGAATTCCTTTGAAATACGTAGTCGATACTTTATTTCTTCAAAGGGTTGGATAAATGATTTAAGTATAAATAAATCCGTATCAGAGTGCGTTCTTTACCCATGTTGTCAGTAAGAAAGTGTGTCATTATTTGGTCATTTTGACCCACGCATTTCCCGGCCGTGACTCACCTGATACTCAATGTTCTGCCACTCAATTTTCTCCTGTTGTCAGTAAGAAAGTGTGTCATTATGACCCACGTATGTCCCCGCCTTGACTCACCTGGTACTCGATGTTCTGCCACTCAATTTTCTCCTGTTGTTAGTAAGAAAGTGTGTCGTTATGACCCACGTATTTCCCCGCCTTGACCCACCTGGTACTCAATGTTTTGCCACTCAATTTTCTCCTTGGCATACTCCTGCTGCTCGAGCTTGAAGATGTGCTTGTTGAAATAGAACTGAAGTTTCTCGTTAGCGTAGTTGATGCAGAGCTGTTCGAAGCTGTTCTCCTGGAGAACAAATAAAAAATTAGATCAGCTGTTCTCCTACACAATAAATAAAAAAAATTGATCAGCTGTTCTCCTACACAATAAATAAAAAAAATTGATCAGCTGTTCTCCTATACAACATATAAAAAATTTGATCAGCTGTTCTCCTACACAATAAATAAAAAAATTTATCAGCTGTTCTCCTGTACAACAAATAAAAAATTTGATCAGTACTCACTGCAGTAAGTGACAGAGAGCGCACTTTCTCGTCCGTCCGTGACGTTAAGTCACGGACGGCAGTCACGGACGGACGGACATGACGAGCACAATAGCGCTTTTTTCCATAAATGAGAATATGCGTTAAAAATAGTTCCATTTTATCTTATTTACATTATAGATATGGTGGAAAACTTCCCTTCGTACATTTTACACTTTCTCAAAGCGAAAATATGAGTGCTAAAGGAACAGGAAAAAACTTAAGCTGGGTAGAAAATATTTTTTTAATCAACCAGGGTGGGTTTAAGGTACTACATGCGCTGATAGTTTATTTTTCGCTTCAGTTAATCTACCTCTCACCACCGCTAATCTACCTCTTACCCCCGCTAATCTACCTCTCACCACCGCTAATCTACCTCTCACCACCGCTAATCTACCTCTCACCACCGCTAATCTACCTCTCACCACCGCTAATCTACCTCTTACCACCGCTAATCTACCTCTTACCCCCCGCTAATCTACCTCTCACCATCGCTATTCTACTTCTTACCACCGCTAATCTACCCCTCACCCCGGCTAATCTACCCTCACCCCCGCTAATCTACCCTCACCACCGCTAATCTACCCTCACCACCCCTAATCTAACCTCACCCCCCTAATCTACCCCTGCATCTACTCCCTAATCTACCTTGAAGGTCTCAAAGCCGAAGATGTCGAGGACGGAGATGCAGGCGGCGGGGTGGCCGCGGTGGCCGCTGATGGTGGCGTTGGTGCGGCGGACGAGCCACCTGAAGAGGGCGCTGTAGAGGGCCTTGGCCACGGCGTCCCTCGCGTCCAGCGCCTGGTCGATGTTGAGGGTCGTGAGCAGGCGCTCGTTGCGCGCCTCCTGCGGGGGAGAGGGGGTTACGAGGGGCGTGATGAATGTGAGCACCGTGCTCACATTCATATGTGAGCACGGAGGAACTTTACACAAAACTTTGTGAGAAATTAGCGCAGGTATGTATGCGTCATACCCTGAGAAAAACGGGATCCAAAGTCCGCAGCATTCCGCGAGACCGACGAATCCTTATGAGAAAACGCACACATTTGAATAAAGAAATAGCTGAATCCACTAGTGATCTGAGGAGACAGAGACTAATTGATTTGCACAATGAAATTGAACGCAGGTTGCAGGACTCCCATAGGATAGAAGAACAAGCTGCCGAGGAACGAGTAGTGGAGGTGATCAGAGAAAACCAGAAGTACTTTTTCAAATACGCCCAGTCCAAGGCGAAAATAAAGACGCCAGTGAGTCCGCTGAAGGATAGCGATGTCCTTGTAGGAGATGACAAGGGTATGTGTGAGTTACTGGGATTACAGTTTGAAGCAGTGTTCGGTAACCCTCGTTACGCAAGACAGGAGAATGAAATTGAAGTTCTCCAGGAACTACCAGGCGGAAGAGGGTTGGAGAACATTGAGTTTGGGCCAGAAGACATGGAAATAAGTATCAAAGAATTGGTGACGTTCTCAGCACCAGGACCCGATGGAATTCCGGCAGTGTTGCTGAAGAAGTGTGTTGGAGCACTGAAGGCTCCGCTCACAATGCTCTGGAAAGCCTCGATGATGGAGGGAATTATTCCCGAGGGCCTAAAAGTAGGTAGTAGATGAAGCCAATCCACAAAGGAGGTGCGAGGGACAGACCCCAAATTACAGACCTGTGACCTTGACCTCGCATGTGATCAAGGTTTTTGAGAAGGTAGTGGTCAGGAGGCTTGTCCGGTACATGGAAGAGGCAGACCTGTATAATAACGGACAACATGGTTTCCGGCGTAATCGTTCACAAGGGAGTAAATAGTTCACAAGGGTTCGTAATCGTTCACAAGTAAATCGTAATCGTTCACAAGGGTTCACTGTACGCACTTTGTCGCAGTTACTGGAGCACCATCACCGTCTAGTGGCCCAGCTAGAGGAGGGAGCTGGTGTTGACGTGGTATACCTAGACTTTGCTAAAGCTTTTGACAAAGTTGAGCATGGGTGCTCTTTAGAAAGCTGAGGGTGTTGGGGTAGGAGGAAGCCTGTTGAGGTGGATCCACAACTTCCTTACAGATAAAGTACAAGCTGTCGCAATTGGAAACTCGAAATCGAGAGAAGCGAAGGTGAAAAGCGGAGTCCCGCAGGGTTCAGTGCTTGGACCGATCCTCTTCCTCACCGACATT